ATTTTTTATTTCCTCTGGGAAATGGAGAGGCTGTGAAACATTTAACCAGTGGCATGCCCAGGTAAGTGTTTTACACCTTCACAGTGGAAGCTGTGAAATTTACTCTATTATATATATTTACTGAGGGCCTGCGACATGCCAGGCTTTAATTTGGCAGTGAAAAAAAGGAAACCTTCATTTGCTTAAAGTGTAGTGAGTGAATCTATGTTCAAATAAGCAAGACTAAAAACTGTCAGCACAGAAAAAGGCAGTGATAAAACTTTATATCATTAATACCAACTACTAAAATACCTCTGCCATCTTTGTAAGCACTGTAATATGTTAGGTAAAAATAAAATCTTTCTCAACATCATGAGTCATCAGGGAAATGCAAATCAAAACCACAATGAGATGCCACTTCACACCCACCTAAGATGATGATAATCAAAAAGACAGATAATAAATGTTTACTAGAATGCAGAAAAACTGGAATTCTCATGCACTAAGTGGGAATATAAAATAGTGCAGTACTTTGGAGAACAGTCTGCCAGTTCCTCGAAAGGCTAAACATAGTTACCACATGACCCAGCAGTTCCACTCCAAGGTGTATACTCAAGAGAACTGAAAACATGTCCTCCCTAAAAGCTGTACAGAAATGTTCATAGTACCATTATTTGTAATAGCCAAAAAGTGGAAATGTCCATCAACTGATAAATGGATAAATGGAATGTGGTATATCCACATTATTTGCGAATAAAAAGAAATGAAATACTTACACATTCTACAATATGAATGAACCTTGAAAAAATGGTCAGTGAAAGAAGCCAGTCAACAAGGGACCACATGATGTTACATGAAATATCCAGAATAGGCAAATCTACAGAGACAAGAAGTAGATTAATGATTGCCTTGACCTGGCAGGAGCTGGAAGGAGTTGTCACCTGGGGGTGACAACTAAGGAGCACAAAGTTTCCCTCTGGGGTAATGAAAATATTCTAAATTTGATTGCACTGACGGGTGCACAGCTCTGCGAATGTACTAAAAGCCACTGAATTATACACTTTAAATGGGTAAACTGAATGGTATGTGAATTATATCACAATAAAGTTGTTTTTACAAAATTCTAATCATTAATGATCTCTTCAAAGTCCTTATTCCTCTTTCCTCATGAAGCCGGATGACATTTTTCCCAGCAAAGAATGTATAATAATGCAAGAGTGCTAGACAAATACCAAGGTTCAATTTTCTACTGGCAATTCTTTTTTCTAAAAAAACTAATCTTCTAGTTGTTCAGCAGAAAACAATTTATTTCTAGGATATCCAAATAAGAGAACAGTAGCTTTGACCCCTTTGGCACAAAAGAGGAGTTCGTTTTTCAAGAACATCAAAGGCTAATAAGTTTTTCTGTCTGATTAATCAGTTTCATCTTCTATAAGTCTTCATCTGATCACTATTGTAAGAATTTTCAATAACTACACTTTAAATTAAAAACTATTGGAAGTAGAATGAGGAAGAAAGTAGTTAGATTTCAAGTAAGAAGAACTGGCTCTAAACTCTTCTATGTAACAGCCACGTGTCCTCAACCAAATCTTTAACTTCTCTTAGCATTTTTTTAATCTGCAAATTGTGAATATATCAGTTCCACCAATGTCTCAAGATCTTGGTTAGGATCAAATAGTACTTGCTAACAGACTCTAAAACTGTTCATCACTCCAATGTAAGCTAGTAAAATCTGGGACACTGGTTATATAGTAATAACACCAAATGTTTGGTAACTTGAACTAGAGAGGTCCAGAGGCAATGAAAGTCAAAAAGGGAAATAAAGAAATAATGTTAAAATGTCAAAACTATTGGGGGCGCCTGGGTGGCTCAGTTGGTTAGGTGACTGCCTTCGGCTCAGGTCATGATCCCAGGGTCCTGGGATTGAGCCCCACATCAGGCTCCCTGCTCCGTGGGAAGCCTGCTTCTCCCTCTCCCATTCCCCCTGCTTGTGTTCCCTCTCTTGCTGTCTCTCTCTCTGTCAAAAAATAAATAAAATCTTTTAAAAAATAAAAAATAAAAAAATTTTTTAAAATGTCAAAACTCTTGGAAAATAGGGGACACCTTCCTTTATAATATGCAAAAATATGAGTATGAAAAAATTCTGTATGTAACATTTACACCCACATTTTAATTAGGATTTCTGAAATATACTGTCACAAAAATAAATTATTTCTTCTTAATAATTTTAAATAAGTTATAATTGCTGACAGTTCTAAAGTTGATGTTAAGGTAGTACTTCAACCTTTATTTGCTTGTAACCACACTCCTATTAGCCCAGGAGTCTTGAGATATTAAACACGCTGCTAAGGATACCAGATACTGGAAGAGAATAACACACTGAAAATTCACCAGTTAAAAAAGGGAAACTTATTTGCATGTGGACATAAGTGAATGCGTATTCATGCAAACAATAAGTGAGTTCCAAGTGATCTGGTATGTTAATGCATTTGGCTGACTACCAGCCCAAGTTAGTTTTCCCATCCTCTTATATTTTATTTTTTCACCCTTCAGTCTAGTATTGTGGGAAAAACATACACAGGCATGCTATTCGGCTTTACTGCAAATATATGTCTCCAACTTGAGCTGGGGTCCCATGGTTATTTGGAAAATCATTTTTGTCTCTAGTCTTTTCTTTCTTCTACTTTCTAGGGCAGCTATAAGCATTTAACATTTATTTTCTGTAGGCCTCTTCCCTATCACCTCCAAGCCTCATTTGTACCAATAAAGAAAACAGAAGCCATAGTATGTGTTTTCCTTCAACCTCACTTACAAAACTTAACTATAATAGTATCCATCCTGCAATCATTCACCAGAATAGTAAATAATAATGTGATTCATTGTTTATTGATCATCTGCCATATGCCAAACAGTGGGCTGAATACTTTATATATAATAATTTAGATCCTACAATAATCTTAACAAATACTTTTGATCCCATTTTTTACAATTACAGGAGTGAAGTTCAGGGAGCTAAGTAACTTGTTCAAGGTCTGTAGCTAATGAGAGGTAGAAAACAGATGTGAATCCAGGTCTGTCTATAACTGTGTCACCATGCCTCTGAAAAGTGTTCTAAGGTCTCCACTTCTACACAGGGACACCACATGCATAAATTATCTTCAATACTGTATGATCTGTCTCTCTTTCCTAACCAGTGCTGAGAAAAGATATCTAAATTGCTATACTTAAGTAAAAAACATGGCTAATGCACTTTCTTTTCATTTAAAAACAATTTTTTTTTTTTTAGAGAGCGCTCATGCACATGCATGAGCAGGGGTGGGGGGATGGAGAGTCAGAGAGAATCATAATCAGGCCCCACGCTCAGCATGGAGCCCAACAAGGGGCTCAATCTCACGACTTTGAGATAATGACCTGAGCTGAAATCAAGGGTCAGATGCTTAACTGACTGAGCCACCCAGGCACTCCTAAAAATATTTTTAATAAAAGCATATATATGTTATTTATTACATTAATAAAATTTTTTGAAATGATTTATTTATTTTAGAAAGAGTACAGGAGGAAGGGGCAGAGAGAGAGGAAAAGTGAGTCCCAAGCAGACTCCCGTGCTAATAAGCACAGAGCCCAACGTGGGGCTAGATCTCATGACCCTGAGATTGATCATGACCTGAGCAGAAACCAAGAGTCGGACACTTAACCAACTGAGCCACCCAGGTACCCCTAAAATTTTAACTTAATGTAAATAAGTGTTTTAGATCTACTTTAAGATGTGGGGTTGAAAAATTGACTTCCACTGAGTTTCTAAGAAAAACTTATACCAGTTTATGCTGGTAAGTTATTCATCTACAAAGTGGAAAAAGAAAGATGAAATGTCCAGTTTCTTCATTTCTCTAGTAATTTCTCACTTTGGCAGAGATTCATTCCTTCAAAGGTAGAAGTGGTTTAGCAACATCTGCAGGAAGAACCTAATGCTTTAAGAATTGTGTCCTCTCTTTAATGGTCCTGACACAGGTATAGCCCTAATTGGCATCATTAAGTTTTCTCACATAACTTTTAGTAAAACTTCATCAGTCTCAGTCTTTAATGGCTCATCAAGGCACATGATTTATGGTGCTGTTCACAGAGAAGCTTAATTCCCTACATCCATATAATATCAAACCCTTTTTTCTTCAGCTGTTAAGAATTACCCTGTAAGCACCCTGCGTATAAGTACTAGAGCCTGTCTTGTTCAATATTGTATCTCCAACACCTATACAGAGGAGATATTCAATAAACATCTGTTGTAATACATGGTGGCAAGAGGGTAAGAGAGTATTATGTAATCTGCTGCACTTTTGACAAAATGTCCCTGAACAGTTACATGAATCTATTGTTTTGATTACTATGAAGTATGATATCAAAATCCAGAGCCTATTACAGTTTTAAGCTCTAACAATAAGATTAGTTTGTTTCTATAATACTTAGTTTGAAAATATTTCAAAGCATTTTAAAAACATTTTTCTCATCTCTTTTGATTCAGAATAAGGCAAATAGTGATCAAGGAACAATTTGTGTATTTTAAATTTATATATACATATATAACAATATATTTTTATACAGCTTAATCTATACCTTTAAAGAGTGGGTTTTCTTTCACTCAGGTCAGAATGTAGCCTCTTAAATCCAGAAAGGATGTTAATTATATCTGCAGTTCATAAACACCTTGTCAATCACTGATACAATTCAAGAACTCCATACATATTTATTGCCACATTCATTTTTAAACAAATATTGCAAAAGATTACACAGAGTATGACAAATGTCACCTAAATGCTAAAAGCCTGTAAATATCAATTCATAATGGTAGGTTCCTATCATTAAATATCAGCTTCTTGTCCACTTTCAATTTTGCTGAGTGCCACCCACTTATAAATTAGTTATAATGATTCAAAATACCCAGTTACATTCTTCCTATCACTTCTCAATGTTTCTCCCATCCCCTAAAATCATGATTTGAAAATTAAACATAAGAACAATTTACAGACCTCCATCCATCCTTTTGGAGATAACTGAAGGCTCCATCCACAACACTCGCAAAGAACTGGCCTCCGGTGATGAAGAGGGTATTGATGGTGACTAATCGACCTCTTAAGTTGGGCGGGGAGACCTCTGCAATGTACACGGGCACGGTCATGGAAGCAATGCCTGTGAAGAAACAAGGAAAAGTCAACAGAAGGCCCTTACTCACGATTTCTTTGTTGTTATAAATACTGATGCTAGACAAAGACACAGAGACACACCCCTGGTTTTCTACTTTAAAGTTTACCAGATACTTAAAGATTCTGTTTATAACTAGTGACTATTGCAGATAAGCCAAGACATAATGTGGAGATACCCATTTTCAGATTATCACTTGAAAGCCTACAAATGAAACTACCTTTAGAGTTCTCAGATAACTTTATAATGTATATAAAGCATGTTTTGTAATTTTTGTGGACTAAAAATAAGAACATGCTCTCTAGATAGAATTATCAAAATATTTTTAGTCTATATGGAAATGTAATCAGACAATGATGAGAATAAAAATTATCCTAGGAGCATATTAACTACTCAAAAACTCATCATTTCTAGCAGATACACCAAAACTCTTAACTGGCTTACTAATAAAAAATCCATACAGCAAGTCACCCTACTCGACTGGCTAGGTATAGATTTCTGAAGTAGCTTACAATGGACAATACTTTGGTAATTTAGAGTCCTTAAGAACAGATGATCTTAACCACAAAATAGATGGTTTTATGGCTAAGGTATATTTGATTATACCTGCTTAAAATCTGTTTCTATCTGAAATTAATGCAGCATAACCCATGGTAGTAGTTCCAGAACTTCACTGATCACTAAATCACTTATGTAGCTTTTTTTTTTTTTTTTTTTAAATAAGGATGCTCTCACCTTACCCACCCCAGACCTACTAAATAGAAAACTAGAGATGGGAGATGGGTCGGTCTTTTAAAAATCCTCCAAGTGGGGCGCCTGGGTGGCTCAGTCCGTTAAGAGTCTGCCTTCAGCTCAGGTCATGATCCCAGGGTCCTGGGATCGAGCCCCGTATCAGGCTCCCTGCTCAGCTGAGAGCCTGCTTCTCCCTCTCCCTCTGCTGCTCCCCCTGCTTGTGCTCTCTCTCTCTCTCTCCCTGTCAAATAAATAAAATCTTTAAAAAAAATAAAAAAATAAAAATCCTCCAAGCACTCCTGATGTTCACCATGTACTTAAAAAACTACAGTTCTATTATAGTCCACAACTTTAGGCTAATCCAAAATTATTTCTTAAAAGAAAATCTTGATCCTCTTGGCCATATCTAGCTCACTTCTCAGTGGTACTTAAAATTTCCAGGTATGTCTTATTATGTAATCTAAAACTAATATCTAATCAATACTTGTCAAAAGCTAAGTGAAAAAAAAAAATCAAGCAGGATTATCTAAGAAAATGTAATCTTCTTCTACCTGTAGATACTATAAATTGACCTCTAGATTAAGCCAGAACATCAATGGGTTATGTAAGATACCAAGGAGAACTGCTTTTAATGAGTTAATCATTATAATGCCAAAAAATAGCCTATATTGAAAGTAGCAGCACCAAGATACCTGTTGCTGTATTTTCTGAACAAGGGCTGCTGACAGTGCTATTTACCACATTGCAGATAACAGGACATATTTGTCTATAGTCTCGGTAACTACAACAGTTGTGCTCCCTCTCTGTGTTTATGGGCACTATAAATCACACAGCGGTCTTTTATTTCCCTCTTTATTAGGCACTCGGAGATGCCCACCTCTACACTAAGTGTTTTGGTATTTGGTATTCATGGTATTTACTCTGTGAGCTAAATTCCCTCCTGATGTCAAAACTGTCCCCAATTTCACCTGTTTTAGACATGTTTTGCCATATTTTTATTTACTTGGTTCCATCTTTGAACCAAGCAAATACATGGACAGATAAGATTTATTTAATATATATCTGCTTCTGTGCTATTGAATAACTACTAGTAATAACTGCACACAAGTCAGACCATTAAATCTCAGAACTATACACTCTGTAGTTTGCCCAAGTATTATCTGCTGCTGTAGTGCCTATCGGTATATATAAATATACATGAAAAGAATCAAGATTTTATGAGTTTCGTAAAATAAGCACATGTTAGTAGACAAAGTATGAAGAGTCTTTACAATTAAATCATCACCTAAACAGCTGGAAGTTTCCATCTGACTGCTAATCAATTTAAGAGAACACATCATACTAAATTGGCTTTCATCTAACTTGGAAAGAGGAAACATTTGATGCAAATGTTGACAAATTAACTGTATATTCTTTTTAGTTCTTTTACAATGAGAACATCTCAATAAGATTCCAAAAATCAGACAACAGTAATAGTCTGGATTTCTCTTCCTGCTGGTCTGGCTGTAACAGGAATTCGGTTGCTCTCTTTAGCCAGACATCTTGACTCAGGCACGCAGCCCATAGATTTAAGCATGGGAAATCAGGACTGTGGTTTTAGGTGGCACATGCTTGTCACAAAGCCCATAGATTTTACCTAAGAGAAATGTAGGGATAGCCTCAGGCAGGTCTTATAAAGGTTAATTATTAAAAATAAACACCAGGACCTTGAAAGGTAACAGGGAATGGCAAAGAGAAAAGACTGAGGGAACTATAAAAAGACAGACTCATTGGATTTAGAATTGGAAAGAAACCCAAAAGATCTGTTAAAGGAGTACTCACATGGACTTAACAGTGTTACAATTGCCTGCATTTGATATTTCACAGGGACTGATTGTTTTATTAAATCCTCACAACGTCCCTATAAAGGACATATAATTATACCCATTTTGCAAAGAAGGACCTTACCCCAGGTCAGATGATGATAAGTGGAGGAACCAGAATTTGGCCCAGACAGAGAGATTCCAGAACCCAATTTTGAAAGTTCTAGACTCTACTGACTGGCCAGCACAGATGAGGGTAGGCTCTGGAACAGCGGCTTTAAATTCCAGCCTTGCCACTCACCAGCTGGTTAAGTCTGGACAAATTAACCTTTTTGGGTCTCCAGCTCACCTATATAATGGGAAGAATAAAAGTAACTCTTTCATAGGAGTTGAGATTCACTGAGTTCATAGAGTAAAAGCCCTTAAAATTGTGCTTAGCATATGGAAAGTAGTCAATGTTAGCAATTATTTCTAGGATTACTACACCTCTAGTTATGAGGCAATTTAGTTTTTTTTGATTCAGTTTGACTTGTGTTAGGTGCCGGAATTATCAGGACGAATATAAGTGAACAAAATAGGGTCTCTATTATAAGAGAAGCTATACACAAGCCCTGCTCACATAAAGAGGCAATCAAATAAATAATTTCAAAACACCATGGTAAGGGTCACAGTACACCTACACACTGGGTTCCATCTTGTGATGCGGACAACTGCCGCAAGCTGACATGATGAGATGCTAGTTCGGGTGGCAGGGGCGGGGGGTGGGGAACAATTCTACAGAGAAGAGCATGGCCTTAAGGAAATAGAAATGATACGGGATTTTCTCAGAGGTAAACAATAAATGTGAAGCAGCGTATGTGTGGAAAGAGGCAGACAGAGCCCAAATCATGAAAGCAGTATCCATTAAACAGTGAGTGTTCATCGCATACTTGAGCTGAGCTGGGCACTGTGCTAAGCACTGGGGACACAGTGCTGTAGGAGAGACATGTCCTCTGTCCTCATGGAGCTTAGTGTCAGCCAAAATGTGCTTGAACAAGTAATTAGATGTCAAATGTGATGGGTCTCACCAAAGGGGAAGTGTGAAGAACACGAGCTCGTGGCAAAGGGACTGGCCCAGCTTGACGAGTCAGACAGTTGTTGGATGAGGTGGTCATATTTAAGTGGAGATCAGGTGAATGAGTAAGCTAGAGCCTGATGACAGCGTGGGGAAGGTGACACATACTTTAGACAATCAGTCCAGCTTAGACAAAGGCCTTGAGGCGAAAAGAGATGCAACCCGTTGAAGAAGGGGGACTATTTCCAGAAACGTAGACAAGAGGCCATATTAAGGACTTGGTACTCAGAAGCCTTTAAATAGTATAATGGAAGAAAACACACTACCAGAGTCATGTTTTTAAAGAGTCATTCTTTAGAGTATGGAAAAGTGATTGTAGGGGAGCAGCAAGTACAGTGACAGCAGAGGAGATGGAGTAAAATGGAAAGATTCCAGAAGTCCGTATTTAGTATCCAGGCTAAAGGGAATTGGGATGGAACATGAAGGATGAGAGGAAGAACTCGAGGATTGATGTTCAGATGTCCGGAATAAGCAAGTAGGAGCATGATGGGTACTTGGTACAAAGATACAGGACACTGGAGGAGAAGCAAGTGTGGGTAGAAGATAACAGGGTCAAGTTTTAACCAGGTTGAGTCAGAGGTGCTCTGTGAAACACACAAGTAGAGAGCAAGTAGAACACTCCCTGAGTGTGTCAGGAATACAGAATATTTACATGTGAGTGTTCCCAGCTTGCCTCATTTCTCCCACCCAATAACTCTGCCAAAATAACCAACCTTTCCTTCCTCTCTCATCCCCTAGGGAGAATCTGGTCTTTGTCACCCTAGTTCTTGAGCCATTACCATGCTAGGCAAAAAAGGATGGAGAAGAAAACATGGACCAAAGATCTGGTTTGCAGGGAAAAGTTCAAATGAAAAAAGACTGGAGAGAGCTGTGAATGAGAGCCTCAGGGTTGGTATGGAAAAAATGGGAGTCTTTAACAAAGGGACTGACTGAGGCCTGAATTGGGAGGGAAGGCAAAGGGGTAGACAACAGAGATTTTAAGAAATACTGCTATGTTATAACCTACATGCTATTATATTCTTCAAGACACAAATACAGAGTAATATTACTATTCAATTGCTTTTAGTTGCTAGACTATATATATTCAAAAGCAACTTCAAAATGAGACTGGGTCCAGTGGGGTTTAGAAGTTACACAAATATCTGAAGCTCAGAAGACAGTTCTGTGTGGATGGTGCACGAAAAGGAAACCATGGGAATGGATGAGATCACCCAGAAATGGAAGAGGAGAAGAATGCCTAGAACTTAGTCCTGAAAAATTCCAGTATTTATGGAACTGTTGGAGGAAGAAGGTAAGAAGGAGCATCCAGTAAGTATCCACCTTACACCTGAATGCCATGT